CATACTCTGATGCAGGAGAATTGTCTGTAATCTGTCAATTATATTTTAAATAAATGCTGATTGGCCAGGCAGGAAGTATAGGCGGGAAACCCAGACAGGAAGTAGAGGTGATGCAATGAGGACAGGAGAATTCTGGGAAGCAGGAAGCTCCCTCCACCAGTCCTGCCCAGATCATCAAAGAAGCAACATGTGAGCTGACAGCTGGGAAAGGTACTGAGTCACATGGCTAACACAGACAGGAATTATGGGTTACCATAAGATGTAAGAATTAGTTAATAAGAAGACTGAGCTAATGGGCCAATCAGTTTATAATCTTATGGAGTCCTGTGTGTGATTTTCTTCAGGGCTTCCCGGCTGTGGGGTACTGGGTGGTACAGAAACCCCAGCAAGCAGGACCTCATGTTACAAATGTTACATGGATAAATGAATCCACAGAAAGCTTGGGAAAGAATAGAGTAAAGCATATTTTCTTGGTAGCAGCAATTTCTTGGGTCTGCTCTGTTTGCTAGAGGCAAGCAAGCACTCTCATCTAAGAGAGGCTTCCTGACTCAGCTTTAGCTGCAAAACCTTGCAGCTCTTTTAAAAGGTCCTGCCATGAAACACTTAAACGATGTTGATGAAAAGCTGAACGCATGCTTTTTGGTTTTCAGCCGTAGCAGGAAAAAAGCTGCACTGTTTTAAAATGTCAGCTTTCTGGGCCATCCTGCCAGGGCAAACTCTGACTCTTTCAGTCAGACTGAAAAGTCTGACTTCAGGCAGGCAGTCCGACTGAGTGTGGTCTTTGAGCAGAATGCTGCAGCTTGCTTGCTGGCAAGGATCTTGAAATGCCACAGAGTTGTGGCAATAAAAATGGCTCCAGCAGTACCTCTGCCATGAGACTGGAAAGCTAAGGAATGGGCTGGATTCAGCTGTCAAAGCCATGGCTTTAATCCTCTCCTTAAAGACTCAGAAAAAGAGAGAGATATACAGTAAAGAGAGATTCAAAGAGGAAGAAAACCTCTAAATGGTTTACAGTGTGTTAGAAATATATGCAAGCTAAAAGTTAAAGTTCTTAAAGTTAAAAAGAAAAAGAGAGTAGTTGGGTGTGGTGGTACACACCTTTATTCCCAATGCCTGGGAGGCAGAGACAGATGTATCTCTGTGAGTTCAAGGTGTTGTAGCACATACCTTTAATCCCAGCACTGAGGAGGCAGAGACAGATGGATCTCTGTGAGTTCAAGGACAGCCTGGTCTACAGAGTTATTCCAGGACAAAGATATACAGAGAACCTGTCTCAAAAAAAAAGTAAAAATAAACGAAATAGAGGTTAAAAAAAGCTGCATAAAGATGGAAAATACACAGAGAATCTTGATACTGTATGCTATTATGCTCTCTTTGAATTGTTTGAATGCTGAGGAAGAAGCAACAGCTGCTAAAGGACTTTTGTTTATAAACACTGCTGAACTAACCCAAGATAGGTATTTTGAAAATACCTTGACTTGAAAAATTGAAGTCAAAAGGTATGTTACTTTGGAGAAGAGATTTTGCTTTTGTTTCCATAGAAAATGAGAGACTGTGGATTCATTCTGAGTTAAGAAAAATCAGGTTCGATAAAGGAAGACCACCTGAGAAATCTCCGGTAAAAACAGATGACCTGGATGTCTGAGCTCTACGTTCAGAACAGATTCAAGACTGCTGCCTGAGATGATCAAGACTCACAGGATACTGCAGTCAGGACTTGATTATAACTCTAAATTTTCTTTAGGTCCCCATAAGATTACCAGTGCCCCCAACTAGCAGGAAGTAGCCTGGAATACTACGCCCACATTCCCCAAAAATGGACTATGGATATTTTCTTTTGTTAAAAAAAAAAAAGAGGGGGAAATGGCGCAGGAGAATTGTCTGTAATCTGTCAATTATATTTTAAATAAATGCCAATTGGCCAGGCAGGAAGTATAGGTGGGAAAACCAGACAGGAAGTAGAGGTGATGCAATGAGAACAGGAGAATTCTGGGAAGCAGGAAGCTCCCTCTGTTATTCTTTTGGTCTGGTCCCTTTAAGGGTAAGCCACGCCCACTCCCAGCCACTTCTGATCCCCTCATCGCCATCTTAACCCCTTCCTTCTATTCCCTCTTTTGGTGTGTGCCCATGTGTCTCCTGTCTCTATGTCTCTCTGTCTCTCTGCCTCTTCTTTAAGGAATAAATGTTCATCTTTATATTCAGCCTTATGTTTATTTATTATGTCCTGTAAGCCTTTTATCCGCCATCTGGTCACCTGCCCACCTGACTCTCCTGGCCGCATGGCTGGGCACTCCCGCCAGCTCTGCCGCTCACCGCGGGGTACCTACACTGCTCTGGCGGCAGCCTCTGCCTGGCTCACAGGCCGCTTGGGGAACATGCCAACATTATTTTTTAAAGAACAAAAGTAATACATTCTGAAAGACTGCTGAGAGCTTGGAACAGGTTGGCACTCAAGAACAAAGAGATGAGCAGCTGCTTCATCAGGAAAAACTCCTCCATCTCTGCCGAACTCTCATCCAACTGAAGGGGGAAAATATTTACTTAAGCAATGGGGTTGGCATTCTAAGTTCTTTTGACTTTCTCATTTGCCTTGAATACCTACCATATTTCCTTCTAATTTCCACTTTAACGCAAAAAAGAATTTCATTTGCTAATTTTTAAAGTATCATTGAATGCTACATCCATGACTGTCTCGCCAGTGTAGCAGAAATGCTGACTGGGCAGGCAGGTATTGCCGGAGGATTGGAATTTGTGCTTCTCGGAGCTGTGTGTTCCAAGCAGTCCCTTGGCAATCAGCTGTGGTCATGATGTCACCTGAGTCGCCATTTGTACTGACTCGACTTGGAGCCATATGTCTGTCTTTTCCCTTGTCTGTGTGTTCTTTGTGATCCTTGCATATTGCTAACAGATCAGAGTAATCCAGGCAGTTGCGGATACAAACAAGACTGCTAGGGACATTTTTGAATTCTGCTCCACTATTAATTAAAGCCTTAAAAGAAGTAGCCAGTTCTGGGAATTGGCAGGGTCATCATTAGAACAATTCCTTGATGATGTGGAACAAAAGGAGTTAATTTTACTAGGAAAAACCTTAGAAGCCTTAGGCATTTGCCTGAGAAATATGTACAGTTGTAAATAGAAGGCCTATGAAACCTTTCTTGTGGGAAGAAAAAGACCTAACCTAAGCTGACAATATCTGAGCCTGAGAATTGAGAAGGGAGGAGAGTTGAGGTTAGTGATATAGAGTAAACTTCAGAGAGATTCAAGACTATGTATTAGAAATTTCCTGGCAGAAAGCTTTCCCAGGGAGATAGTAGCCTTTTTCTTTCTCACCCAGGCACACAAGGTCACTTAGCTCAAACCAGCCAGCCACCCGCAAGCTGATAAAGATGGTCTAGCTCAAGGGCAATAGTCTCTCTGAAGGCAAGAAAAAAGAGTTTATTTTACAAAATATGAGAGAGCAGAAGTCCTTGTGCCCAAGTTAAAGCATCTTCAAAGATTCAATTGTTTTATGCTGTTCTTTTCTGTTTTATGATTTGATGATGTATGCCTTTGTCAAGTTCTTTGATTGTAAAAAATATATAATCCTGCACTGAAAAAAGTAAAAACACAGCAGCATTTTCAAAATACATTGAGAGTGACTGTCTGTCAATTTCCTCCGCCGTATCCTGAAATCTCCTGTCCTTCGTCCTGTTCCCTCACGGTCTGAGTGGCTCCCCTGAGCTGGTCCGTAGTAATTGAATTGCCAAATTTTTTTAGAAAAAGACAGAAGCAATAGCAATATTTTTTTCAATTACTTTGAAAGCTAACATATCAAAGAGACAGACCAATTAGACAGTGAGCAGAAAAACATGGACAATATTAACAATATGTAGGAAGCCATCCTACAAACCTTGGACTAAACAAGTTAAGGGTACACCATGAAAATCAGGATTTTCTTGCTATTAGAGACTGTAAAATAAAAAGTAGACAGCAATGGAGCTATATCTGATGGTCCTGTGGAATAGGAAAAAAAATCCAAGGTAACCAAAAAGTATTTGTAGGAATAGATGGTAGCATTGGAAGAGAAGCAACACTTCCCATTCTTTGATCATGGGTAAATGCAGGCCATCCACAGGAAAGATTCCCATATGTGATCTGTATAGATAGAGGCTTACCAAAGGTCCGGTGGCGACTAGCACCTGCTGCTCTTGTGAAAGGATCCAGGTTCGGTTCCAGCACCCACAGCTCTCTGTAACTCCAGTTCCAGGAGATCTGATGTCCTCGTCTGACCTCTGGAGGTATGCAGTGCATATACATACATGCAAGCAAAAACATTCAGACAGAAAGTGAATGAACAATTACATAATATCATTAAAAAGTCAGGCATGGTGGCTCATGCCTAGAATTCCAGCACTCAGGAGGCTGAGATAGGAGGACTGCCACAAGTCCAAGGTAAAACTGGGCTACATTGTGAGACTTTGCCTCAAAAACAACAAGAAAAATCATGAAGAATAAGAAGCAGAACAATATGCTGAAAGACATTATAACTCATTATAACTTATTTCAGAGTTAAACAAGTTTAAGGAAAATGTACAGGATGTGAAAGGAAAATTAGAATTAGAAAAGTTTAAAAAGTAATAAAATTCATGAATTTGATATAAAAAAAACTCATTTCAGAAGAGAAAGCCAAACACAAAACGGAATGCCCTGAGTTAAATAAGAAAAAGGATAAATTTAAAAAATATTAATCAAAATTGGTAAAAAAAAAAAAAATACACAACCAAAAATAAAGGTTAACAGAAACCTGCTAGGAGAAAATGGAAGCACCAGAGCTGACCAAATGCTGTGAATCATGGAATTCACGAGTTTCTGAAAACACATGATCCATATGTGAAAGAATACACTGAGTATGTGCAAATACCAACCAAAAACGTCACACACACACACACATACACACACACACACACACACACACAAACTCTAATAAATGAGTAGACATGGAAGTAAGGGAGAGAGGGAGGGGCAGACTGGGAGGGGCCGACTGACAGGAGATAGTTACTGATTGTCTAGAAAGAGGCATGTGCCGTGGATATCCATTGCCTGGTTGTGATTTCTTAAGCTAATAATAGCGAGGTGACTCGCTCCTACCTTCAAGGCTTGTTCTGACTGTGCCTGGTGAAGCTGGGCTTGCAAATTGCTAATTAATTTCTCCTTCTCCTGGAGTTCACGTTTTATCTCTTCTACTTTCATCTCTTCTGTAGAATTCTTATCATGCTGAAAATTGCAATAGATTGAAGTCATTTAAGAGTTATAATCAATATATATATATTATATTTTACACTATTTGCCTTTTAGAGACATTTAATTACAGCTTCACTGAAGTGACAGAAGCACCCAGGAGCCAGAAGCAGGAGGATCTCTCTTACTTAGAAGCCATCCTGGTTTAGAGTCCCAGAACAGTCAGAACTACATGGAAAACCTGACCTGTACCAAACAAACAATAAAACCAATCATCCAACCACCACAACAAAATTAAACAACAAAAACAGAATCAAGAAGAAAAAACTAACAAAAATGGATGAATTTTGGGTTGGGAAGATAGCCGAGTTTAAGAAAGCTTGTTCTACAACCACAGCGACTAGGGTTTGGATCTTAGGACCCACAAACACCTGTTACTCCAGCTTCAAGGGATCTGACACACCCTCTTCTTGTCTCTGATACCCTTCTCTGTCTGTTGCTGTCCATCCATGCCCCCTGCCACACACATGCACACATGCACACTGCGCTAAGCACACCATGGTTACAGGGCTGCTGTGACTGACAGCTGGAGTGGACGGGGACTGCTGGACATCATTTATTGAACACGGAAAGGAAATGATGTATAAGATGCTGGCACGTTTAAGGCCTGAGGGCTAAGTAGTAAGCTAGAGTGAAATGCAGAGTATAAAATGGATAAATAAAAAAATCTAACAACACAACTCAAGGGAAGTCTGAAAGAATCAACATGAAAAGGCAAAGGTTAGTGCCTGCCACCACAGCCAGGGGAAGAGAGTTGCCATAGGAACCATAGAGGAGAAAAATAATTCAAAGAAATTTCTTGCTTTTAAAACCAACTTTGAGATGTTAAACAACCCTAGTCTAGTCCCCTCCTTCTCGTGCCCCTGCAGTACAAGGGACTAAACCTAGGGCCTCAGACACACTGCATAGGTGCTCTTCTCCTGAGCCACATCCCCAGGGCAGACAAGGAACAGCAATGTCCCTGAAAGGCAAGGCTAAGGAGGGCACTGGGAGGTAACAAGTGCCCTCAAGGGCTTGTGGCTCAGAACTTGAAAAACTCCCCTCAGAACAAACATTTCTGATAACGTAATATAGGGAGCAGGGGGAAGTTAAGGCTGACTTACAACTGCTGTGAGCCACGGTGGCACAACAGCACCAGTGTAATCTGCACACACAACAGCATCAGTGTAATCTGCACACACAACAGCACCAGTGTAATCTGCACACACGCCTCGAAAACCTGACAGTCCCTGTTCTCTAATAGATACCTGAGCGTGGCTCCAAACAGAAAGGCCAAGAGGACACCTGGAACAATGCCACATCCCTCTAAACACAGCTTGCTTTAGTCCCTCTGCATCTGGACTAGACGCTGCTCTGTGGCAGCAACCATAAACCTTGCCGACCTCCTTACAGGATACCAGGGTGAGCCAGGCAACTCAGCTCATAGCTCATTAAACATTAATGAACCATCATTCACTTACAGAAACAGAGAATACTCTTTATTAGTTAAGCAATAAAAGGATTTCAGAGCCGGGGATAAACCTTAGAGACCACAGTTTTTAATGTTCTAGCCAATAATCAAACTCATCCACAAAGTTTGAGAACATCCACAATATGTTCTCCTCTCTGTCTCGCTCCAGGGCTCATTTCTGCCTGTCAGCCTTTGAGAGTCTCACTGGGAGTCTGGGTAACAACTGCCAACTCGGGCTCACATTTCCGTATGCCTTTGCTCTCCCAGTGTGGCCTTCGGTCCAAGCAAACCACAGGCTCGGAGGGAAGGGCAGCACTTCTGCTGCATCATCTCACCCTGAAGATGTGCTGTGGTAGGGCTCCTGGCTCTGAGGACACCAAGTCTCTATTCAGTTCCCGTACCTTGGGGAGCGGTTCTGCTGACTGAGGTTCCGTAGATGTAGGCGAAGCAGCCCCTCCTTGTGCCTTCATTTCTTCGAGGTGTTGTTCAAAGAAGTCAGTTTCGCTTTTGCATGAAGTTTTATTTTTTTAATTTTGTTATCAGCAGCTTTACGCTCCTCCTGCCGTAGAGCAATGAAGACAATAAACTTGTGCTCACTGTTTACCCAGCACACAAATTACTGGGCAGGCAGCGCGTTACAACACTTAGGAAAAAGAAGCAGGTCTGACGCTCTAAGCGGATGACCCGTCTTTATCAAATGCTCAGCGAAAAGCGAAAGACAATACCTGCAGAGCTTCATCCTTCTGCTAGAGCTGAACATCCTTCTGTCTAATGATGTCTTTCAGCTCCACCACTAACTTCTCTGCATCAGCCAGGCGTTCCAGAACATCATCTTGCACGCTATTATTCAATTCCATGCTAGATTTCTGGTGTAATTCCTGGGATTTAGACAGAAAGCAATAAAAATAATGCACAGGGGAAAGGCAGTAACTCCCCACAGGGACTGTTACATCCTCACCTCAATCACTGGCCAACTTCTCTCTTTTGAAACTGAGCCCTAACTAATCCCACAGCAGTTATCCTTGCCATTACAATATAGTATTTTGTTTAACTTAGAGTATTTGTTTTAAAACTTGATTTATTTCTCTTATATAGGAGTACTGTGTATGTACATCTGCAGACCAGAAGAGGGCACCAGATCCTATTACAAACGATTGTGAGCGATCATGTGGTTGCTGGAAATTGAGAACTCAGAACCTTTGGAAGACCAGCTAGTGCTCTTAACTGCTGAGCCATCTCTCCAGCCCCAGATCTTTTATTATCCTAATTTTATCCAAGAGGAAAATAAAGGGAGGCCAGGATTACACAGTTTTAAGTGGAGGAACGCAAAATTTAAAATTAGAGCTGAGCCGAGGGCTGGAGATGTGGCTCAGTTGGAAGAGCAAAGACCTCACGAGCACAAGGCCTGGCTTCAGTTCCCGGTCCTGCATCGACTGGCATGGATGGCAGCGCACACCTAGGATCCAACACTCAGAAGGCAGAGGCTGAGAGATCGGGAGTCCAAGGTCATCTTTGGCTAGCTACAGAGCAAGTTGGAGACCAGTCTGGGATACATGAGACCCTGTCTCAAACAAAATAAATTAAAGTAAGTTATTTGAAAATTAAAACAAAACAAAAGCCCTTAACTATTTAGTTTGCTGCTTGTCTTTGAAAAAGTTAATGGACTTCTTTTGAATCCTTAAGGGTTGGAAAATACAATGCAAACTACAAGAAAAACAGACAAAATTATAGAAATAAACAGAGGTTTTCAAACAAAAATGGTGCTCCAGTCCCATTACTCTTTACACTTTTCCCTTGGAACAGAAGCTAATGTCCCTAAGGAGGAAGGGGAAGAGAAGGAGGAGGACAGGGAGGAAGAGTATGTTAACAATAACTTCTTTTTTGTCAATTTTTTGATAATTACATTTTTTTAATTTTTATTTTTCCATTCAAAAATTTATTTTCTCCCCTCCTCCCATTCCCCTCCCATTCACCCTCCTCCCTCCCACTCCCTCCTTAAGAGAGGGCAGGAAACCCTGACCTGTGGGAAGTCCAAGGCCCTCCCCCCTACATTCAGGCCTAGGAAGCTGTATATCCAAAAATAGACTAGGGTCCCAAAAAGTCAGTACATGCCATAGAAACACGTCCCAAAGCCTTTATCAATGGCTTCTCAGTCAGCCCCCATTGTCAGCCTCATTCAGAGAGTTCGGTTTGATCACATGCTCGTTCAGTTCTGGTCCAGCTGGATTTGGTGAGCTCCCATTAGAACAGGCACACTGCCTCATTGGTTGGACCAACCCCTTGCAGTCCAGACTTCCTTGCTCATCTTCTCCCTCCTTCTGCTCTTCAACTGGACTGTGGGAGCTCAGTCTATTGCTCTGATGAGGGTCTCTGTAGTGTGAGGGCCGGCTTGCTTGGAGTATCTGTCCCTCCCAGTACCCCACAACCACGAAGCAACAAAGAAAATCACACACAAGACTCCATAAGATTATAAACTGATTGGCCCATTAGGTCAGGCTACTTATTAGCTCTTATAACTTATGTTACCCCATTATCCTTATCTACGTTAGCCACATGGCTCAGTACCTTTTCTTGCTGGGCAGCTCACATGTTGCTTCTTCGGTGGTCTGAGCAGGAATGGCAGAGGGAGCTTCCTGCTTCCCAGAATATTCCTGTTCTCATTGCCCTGCCTCTACTTCCTGTCTGGTTGACCCACCTATACTTCCTGCCTGGCCAATCAGCGTTTTATTAAAATACATGATTGACAGAATAGAGATAATTCTCCCGCACCAGGTCTCTGTCTCTATCTCCATCCACCGCTGGACAAAGATTCTATGGTGATATTTGAGATAATCATCAGTGTGATAGTAGGACAAGGACAGTTCAGGTACCCTCTCCTCTTCTGCCCAAGGACCTAGCTGCGGACATCCCAAAAGACACGTAAGGTCATGTTCAACCTCCTTAGCAATCAGGGAAATGAAAATCAAAATCAAAACAACTTTGAGATACCATCTTACACCTGTTAGAATGGCTAAAATTAAAAACACCAATGATAGCCTATGCTAGAGAGGCTGTAGATTAAGAACACTCATCCACACTCATCCATTGTTGGTGGGAATGCAAACTTGTGCAGCCACTTTGGAAATCAGTGTGGCGGTTTCTCAGGAAACTGGGAGTCAACCTCCCTCAGGACCCAGCAATTCCTCTCTTGGGAATATACCCTAGAGATGCCCAAACATACTACAAAAGCATTTGTTCAACTATGTTCATAGCAGCACTATTTGTAATAGCCAGAACCTGGAAACAGCCTAGGTGCCCCTCAATAGAAGAATGGTTAAAGAAGGTGTGGAACATATACACATTAGAGTTTTACTCAGCGGTAAAAAATAATGACATCTTGAATTTTGCATGCAAATGGATGGACATAGAAAACGCTTTACTGAGTGAGGTAAGCCAGACCCAAAAAGAGGAATATGGTATGTATTCACTCATAAGTGGATTCTAACCATAGTTAAAGGTCTTTGAGCCTATTATTCGTGATCCTAGAGAAGCTAAATAAGAAGACGAACCTGATGAAGATTTTTTAGCTATCCGCCAGGAGGTAGGAAATAGTCAAGAGTCCCAGGTAACCTTGGGTGCGTGGGGGGGGTGGGAGGGTTGTTGGAAGGGGAGAGGGTTAGAGAGAAGGGAGTAGGGGAGGAATGGAGAAAGCTCGGTTGACCGGGATGGGGGGAAGGGAGGAAGGATGAATGTGGGATCAGGGAAGAATATATTTCAACTAAGGGAGTCATATTAGAGTTTACAGGAAACTTGATTATATATGGGATCCCAGGTCCAAGAAGAGATCCCCAGATTGTTCTCTGGACAGAGGAGGGGGTGCCTGAACTGGCCTTGGCCCGTGACCATACTGATGAATATTTTGCTTATCACCATAGATCCCTCATCTGGCGTTGGATGACGATACAGATGGAGGCCCGCGTTGGAGCACGGAACTGAGCCCCCCAAGATCCAAATGGAAGGAAGAAAATGACGAAGGACTGCGAGGGATACTATCACCCACTGATACAAGGGGTCGGATCTAATGAGAGTTTACCAAGGCCAGATGGACCGTGACTGAACGAGCATGTGATCCAACCAGATTCTCTGAATGTGGCCGGATTTTCTGAATGTGGCTGGCCTGCAGTCTTACTGAGAAGCCATTGACAATGACACTGGGACTGGTTTCCTCTGCATATACTGGATTTTTGGGATCCAATCTGTTTGGATGCTCACCTTCCTGGACCTGGAGGGAGGGGGGAGGAACTTGGACTTTCCACAGGGCAGGAGACCCTGACTGCCCTTGGGGACAAAGAGGGAGGAGAAGAGGGAGGGGGGGAGTGGGAGGGCGTTGGGAGGAGGGGCGTAAATGGAAACTCTTTATAATTTAATAAAATTACTTTCAAAAAAAAAAAAAAAAAGAACACTCATCCATTGCTGGTGGGAATGCAAACTTGCACAACCACTTTGGAAATAAGTGTGGCAGTTTCTCAGGAAATTGAGAATCAACCTAACTCAGGATCCAGCAATTCCACTCTTGGGAATATACCCAAGAGATGCTCAATCATACTACAAAAGCATTTGTTCAACTATGTTCATAGCAGCATTATTTGTAATAGCCAGAACCTGGAAACAACCTAGATGCCCCTCAATCAAAGAATGGATAAAGAAAGTGTGGAATATATACACACTAGAGTACTACTCAGTGGTTAAAAAAAAAATGATATCTTGAATTTTGCATGCAAATGGATGGAAATAGTGAAAAAACTATCCTGAGTGAGATAGCCCAGACCCAAAAAGATGAATATGGTATGTACTCACTCATTAGTGGACTCTAGCCATAAACAAAGGACATTAAGCCCATAGTTCACAAGCCTAGAGAAGCCAAATAACAAGGCAAACCCAAAGAAAAACATATATAGATCCTCCTGGAAATTGGAAGCAAACAAGATTGCCAGGAAAAAGTTGGGAGCATAGGGGTAGGGGTAGGGATGGGGCTGGGGCTGGGGGAAGGGGAAAGGGGGAGAGAGAAGGGAGAAGGGAAAGACTGGGGAGAGCTTGGGGGAGTGGGAGGGTGGAGATGGAAGAAGGGCGGATATAGGAACAGGGAAGAAGATATCTACATTAAGGGAGCCATTTTAGGGGTGGCAAGAGACTTGGTTCTAGAGGGGATCCCAGGTGTCAACAATAACTTCTTAAGACAGTTTGGTACTTGTAGGGGGTTGTCCTTCCACGCCACCCACATCCCACGAGTTCCATATTGTCCTAGGGGTTAAAACACAAGACGCACACACACAGATACAGAGTTCCAGTTATCCTCAAGAAGAGAATGCCCCTTTATTCAACTAAATCCAGGGTTAAAATACCTTTGGCCCCAGTAAAGGAAAACTCCTCCCACCCAGAGGGGGCTGGGGAAACTGGCCTCTGTGGGAGTTTTTCCCCAGGCAGGTGGTCGAGGGTCTAAGGCAATGTCAGACAGGTTAGATGGGCCTTGGCGCCTGAGTTTCTTTGAGGCAGGTTGAGAAATTACCATTTTAAAGTAAAATAGATCCCTCAGGCTAATGTACCAGGCTGTAGCAGAACCAAGGACGGAACTAGCAGGAAGCTTAGCTGGTTAGCGTAAACATTACTTGCATCCTGTGTTTTGGTCTCAAGGATCAAGGAGGACAGGTTCCCACAGGTACTAAACTGACTAAGCAGACAACAGAGACCCATCTTTCCCGGCTCATCTACATTTGGTTTCTGTCCCCACTGGCTCTCGGACTAACAGTCCTTGGCACAGGATCATTTACAGAGTGGCAATGGTTTCCTTAAACATCACTTCTACTTTGCATGAGGGAGGCTGCTCACATCCCTCTAGCCTAAGGTATTCTCCTCAGAACACACAACAGAGGTCTTGTTACTCGATCTGGACAAAGTTACTCACAGCTTCTAAGAGAGGTGTCATGTTCTAGTCAGCATTATATCCTGATAATTCATGTTAAAAAAAAACATTTGCTAATCCTGATAATCGGTTCAGCATCTCTGCGAGTGAAATAGACAAGAAAATGCAACAATCAGTAAAAGCAGATACAGGCTGCTGGAGAGTAAGTAAAGCAGGCAGGTGCAGCTAGACATTAGTACCCATATCATCTGTGTGAGAGAAGGGACTGTCACTGGACTCGGTGTGCAGACAACTGTGTGCATGGTGTAGCCACACCCTGTTCTGCTCGGGTGCCATATTATAAGTACCATCACTAGGGTCAGTTTGAATAATAAAATGCAAGAACACAATCTTTAAATACAAGTACATCATTGTTAAGTATGTCTTAAGGGCTGTCTTTAATGCCATATTTTTCATTGATAAACAAAAATTTTAAGTTTTCCTTCTGCCAGATTGATTCTTTTCTGATTTTCAATGAAACCCTAAGATTCAGCAAAATTTCCCTTTTCATGTGTTCCCTGAACCCCATTCGTTCATGTAGTTTTCCTGACAAACCATGTGGTGTGAGTAGAGAGTCACTATTCAATGTGGCATATAAAAATTTATAGCAGTAAAT